TGAATCCTTATTAGCACCAGTACTCTCCAGTGTACTGCTTCAGATAAAAGCATTTGTATAATGTACAGGTCTGCAAGTACGTGTCTGGCCAAACTTTCTCATGCATTTTTCTTTCTTTCTTTCTCTCCAAACCACCATACACACATAATGAGATACGCTATTCCCTCATATTCCCCAAATTTCTGAATAGCAGAAGGTGCTGCATATCATTTATTACTACCAGAGATGTAGCTAAAGTCTAAAAATGAAGCTTATGCTGCACCGCTAACTGTGTTTTAAGGACATAAAAGGCAAACAACAAATAACTTGTGACTGGAAACGAAAAAAAGCCTCTTGTATTTCTAGAGATGGACACTAGATGGCAGAACAAATAAACATTCTCTAACAATTTCCTAAGAGGCATCCTTTTAATAGCAAGGCAGGACCAGAGAGCTGAAATAGACTATATCTGAAATAAATGGAAAGCCTACAGCTTTTCCACTTGGGCCAATCAGTTCCTGTAGAGCACAGGCTCTGATAAGACTAGGTTTAAACTTTTTATGTCCTTCACCATGAGTGTTACCTTCAATTTGGTGATAGTCACGAACTCCCATCTCCCTGAACAAATGCCAGCATCTTCCCTTCTCTCACACAACACGTTTAAAGTAGGACACAGGAAAACTCTACCACAACTCTGAGTGGGTGATACAAGTTTTTAGATGCAGATAAGAAACCTCAATTGAGCTCAAACAATTTAGGAACGTCAGAGCAGCTGCCAATCAGTGGAATGCTCTTCATGGGTACCATTATGTAATTAGAATCTAAATTATTTGCTCCCGCAAAGCAACACTTCTTCCAGAGGAAGAATATACCTATTTAAATAGTTAAATAATTAAGAGTAATCATGGGTAAATGCTGGGCTGAAAATGCTGCAAAAAAAAAAGACCTGAGAAGAACCGAGCAGGACTGTTGTGCACTATGAGATCTCTGTAGGCACCAGACACTGCTCGCTCAAGGTTTGTGCCCCAAGCGTGGCCCAGCTTTGGCTTTGCCTTGAGCTGCAGGATGGGGCAAGGTCTGGAGATCCAGCAGCCCAGGGCAGCTCAATGAATGGGAAACCAGCAGGAAAACAGGTTCCACCAAGAGCATAAAGCACAGCAGCTCACTAAAGCCAGCTGGAAGTTCAGAATGAGTGCTTCTAATGTTGCTATCTGCCTGCGGGATGCTGCACACACTTTGCACATGACTGGATGGCACATGAGGGACCTTAGCATTTCAGCCCCATAAAAGGGCTTGGGCTGCCCCACGAGCTCACAGGCTCTGGAGTGCAACAAGTGCTCAGATCAGCAGCCGTATGAGCTGGACTGGAAGCTGAAAGAGCCAAGTCCAACTCCTGGCTCCTGACTGATTTGCTATATGACCTTACACCATTTCATCTTACTCATTTTCCTTCATGGTCATGGCATCTCCTGTCTGTCATCTTCACCTGGAGGTGTGAGGTATACAAAGCAAAATCTTCTTAACCTAAGCCCTTGCTGCGAGGAGAGATCCACCCCCTTATACACATCTAACACAAGACAGCCAGCACTTAACAGTATTCCTGTGACATTGAAACCGTTCATACAATTGCATCCTTCAAACACCTGATTCCTGTCCTCAAAAAGTTCATTTTAACAAAACCTGGGCGATTTCCAAACCCACTTACGGAGAGTCAGTTTTGCCAGGTGTTTTTTCCTGAAGCCATGAGAGGAGAGGACCTTGAGAAGGAACTAAACAGAAGTGGTGGGACCCAACCAGATTAAAAGGAATTCATAAGCCTGAAAGAAAGCAAAGAGCTGTGGGAGAAGTGCCCAAAGATAAACGATGTCCCACGAAACCTGCTGTGCACCAGGAGCCAAGGAACAGCATCTAACGATGGGCTTAGGAGGTCATCTGGCCTGTTGTAGCAATGGAGGAGCAGAGCTCACACAACAGCTGCTTTCTTCTGGAGGAGTAAACATCTGAATGAAAAGAACAGTAGGAAGAAAGAAGATGAACCCACATGACACTGGTCTGTGAAATCCAGTAGGGCAGGCTGGGCGCTCAGCCCCCCTCATTGAGGGGCAGGAGGGACAACCAGGGCCAGCGGTGTCAGCCTGTGGGAGGAGCTGAGAGGAGCCATCTCCTCAAGTCTGGCCAGTGTTCAGGGAGATACTGACTGGCTCCAGAAGAACCCATAGGCAAGCCTCTCCTGCTGCAGCCTGCAAACAGGCTTTTCAAAGGGGTAATGAGCTAGGTAAAGAAAGGTGGGACTGCTGGGAATACTGCTCAATGACAACCTTCCTGAGAACTGGAGAAGCAGCTGCCTCCATCTTTGTAGACCATTTCTCTTGGCTTGCGATGATTGCAGGCCTCAAAATAACTGAGGTTTGCACAGCCACAAAAGCATCACGAGATGTGCTTACCCACCCATCCTGACACACAGCACCATGGCTGCCATAGGACATAGCACCAGGTCTTTGGAGTGCAGGAGTAGCAGAACTCTCCCCCCACAGCTGAGTGATGTTTTCAGATTTGGAGGTGTGAATAGACAAGCCTGCTTAAGAAACCAACTGATTCTTCTTCTTCCTGCATGGAGACGGTTTACCCCAAGACATCAGCTAGACATGGAAAAGACCAAACCATGGAATGGATGCAATGAATCAAAAGAACAGTGAAGTGCAAGAAATTACAAGTTAAGAAAGGGAAGAAAAGGAAGAGTTGAAGCAGCAACAACAGTGACAGCGAAACTGACAGATTGACAGCATGCAAGTGGAAAACAGTGGTCACAGTAAGCATTCCTTTATGTTACAGAATACATCTAACCTTGTTTCTAGCAGTTGCAAACACTGGTAGATCACCAATCAATGACTACGGCTACCAGTATGGGAATGATGGTGAACAAGCATGGGAGGTGGGGTGGCATGGGAACAAAGAGCTAAATCTGTGACAGCACAGCTGGATCCTACAAACCGTGCTCAAAGCAGGACTTGCAGGTTCTCACAGCTCAGAAAATTAAGTTCCCTTTACTTATTACTCAAGAGTAGATGCTTTGGGTATCTTGTGGTCCTACCATTCCTACAGGTCAGCTCCAAGACTTTTATAGCTGAGACACTCAGTTGCAAAGCAGTTTCCAGCTTCTTGCAGGGCTGCCTTCCTGTCCCATGTCCTCCCCACGTCCCACCCTAAGTGTGTCCCTTCTGTCCTGCAGCTCATGCTGCTCCTCCTCCATGCTCTCCCACTCCTTGCCACTCTTCCCCTCTTTGTTTTCACCTTACTTCCTTCCATTTTCCTGCTCTACTGCCTTCTTCCTTCCCAACTCTTTACTGTCAACATTTCAGACTTCTAAAAGTTTTGAAAAGTTCCCTTTCCAAAATCAGAAGTGTTAAACCAAACTGCTATCCTGCAGTCTTCTGGTAAAGGTCCTGTCCTTCCACTTCCAGCTCACCGCTTTCCTCCACCATCTTCCCTTTATTTTTCTTGGCTGTTCCTTCGTCTGCTCTGAAGTTCAGAAACTCTTTGAGGGTAGTCCCAGAGTCTAGTCCATAGAATTCTAGAAGGCAAAATATATATTATAAAGTCTATTCTAATTTTTTTTATTATTATTATTATTTTTAAATTATTTTGAATAAACTCATGGAAAAATCCAAGTAAGGAAGACCGAGTAGATAGACACACGTGTCCTGTCAACAGGAAGCTTCTCTTATATAACTTCACTGCAGTTCTGGAAAGCTAAATGTGATTGAATCTATTTTCCTCTGCAAATTAGTAGCCAGGACAAAAGTCAAGCATGAAGAAATATCACCTCTGAGAAAGATTTCAGAAAGGCAGATGGTTTTTAGCACACAGAGCTGCCTCCATGAAACATCTGCTATGACGTAGTCCTGCTCTGGCTGTAGACCAAGCATATCAATGGCTCCACAGAGCAATGGGATAAGAAATGGGAAAATTGCCATTGCTTGTTTAGGAACTTGTTTTGCTGATAAATGTCTGTCACTTTTCAAATAGCTACAGTCTAATTGTTTTTTGGGGAAAATATTTCCTTGAGCAGGAGGTTTGCAGGCCACTAGCAATTTCCCATCTGTGCTGCTGCTCTAATACACCACACACACACTTTCCTCCCTATTAGGGATTACTATGGCTTCTGATTATAAACAGGCAGCCTAAAGGAATTCAGAAATCTCATCTGCCCTTAAGGAAGTTCTCTAGGCTTAATGAAATTTTAAGGTTGGAATCAAAACATATTCTTTGAAGAAACCTCTAAATTCTGCTAAAAAATACAATTTTTATACATCTGTAATTTCATAATCATGAATGACTGTATGGGGATAACAGTTGTTTGACTGCAGCAGTGGCCGCTCCGTGCTCATTCTGTGGCAGGCTTTCAATGTCACTCATCTCACCCCTTGTCAAACTGTGACATGAAAACATTCAGCTTCTGCCCAGTAGTTGCTGGGACAGACAACATACAGCCTTCTGTTTAGTATCAGACAATACATCTAATAATGATACGATAGGCTTTCAACTCACACACGTCCTCCTGCAATTGCTTGCAGTAAATTTAGCAGTGCCAAAAGACACAGTACTACTCTTGCACCTGCTTCAAGTGAAATACTAAAAGCATACGTAAACTTAAGAAAAATTTTTAAAAAGGATTCCTTATGAATAGGTTTCACTTACTCCTCCTCACTTCTCCTCCTCCCCCCCCTCGCCAAAAAAGAGGAAAACAACAAGAAAAAAATATTGTCTACCATTGCAGATTTATACTAGTGTAAAATTGTTCTGCAATCTGAATCCCTTGCTGATTTTTTTAGTTGTTGTTTGTTTTTTTTAACTCAAGAGGATCACATGAAGTTTCAAACCTAGCTACTATTAGACTTCCCTGAATAAAACGGCTGAGAAAGTAGTTCTGCACATCAGGGGGAAATTCACACCTTTACTTACCTCTAGGACTAAATAGCAAAAAAAAAAAAAAAGAAACAAAAAAAACCAACAACATCCTGGCAGTGACTGCTTTCAGAATTTATTGTTAAAAAAAAAAAAAAAAAAAAAAAAAGGAATAATAGGAAGAAAATAAAGCACCCACCACATATTGCTTTATGTGGAAACAATGGAAAAATGTGACAGAAATATATTTACCCATTCCTGTCCATGTATCAGATGATCCGTGCTACTCAGGACATGCTCATGGGAAAAATATTGGCACTATCACAGCATATGGAAGTGAAAATAAAAAACATGCAGTATTTTCAATTGCAGTTGGGAGGCCTATTTCCTGGAGTCTAAAGATCATGTTGTTTTATCTGTTTTCCTTTAGCATAACGTACATTATCAGACTTCCATAACTTCAGACACCGGCAGAAAGCCCTGATTTTCTGCCAGCGGTGACATACCCACCTCAAAGATAAACCTGGAAGTCAGAATGTCTGCCTTATTTCTGTTTGCAATTTCCTTTCCATAGGAACATGCACATGATATAGTTCCTGCTAACAGATATTTAAAGCTTTGCTGGCCCTTCCTATACTTCTACCAGCTCAGCCCCACTGGAGGTCCTCAGGGCAGCACAAACACCAGAGAACAGACTTCCAGCACAAAGCCTCATTGGTTTTGTTCAAGAAGCTCTTGCCTTAACCAATTTGTGTGTGTTAAGTATACTTGGCAGATCTTTCTTCTGCTTTTGTCTACAAAAGTGGCAGATTCTGCATTAAAACGTGTTACCAAAATGTAAACCATTAAGTTCCACATTTTTAAATGATTTCCTAACTCATATCAAAATATCTAAAGAATCTGTGTAACTAAAACAGAGCTCAATTTTAACCGAGTCCCAGAATGATGAGTACACAGTAATACATGCCTGGTGCAATTAGCCTCATTACCAACTGGAGAAAAGCTGACTTAGCTTCAGTTTCAAGACCACCTCAGCTTCAAGTCAAAGGTCGAACTTTCACCCATGTAGGTGTGCTATTTTAGATACAATGTGAAGATAGAACCCAAACAGTCAGAAAACAAAGCTCAGCAAAAACCTACAGATAATGCTGAACAACCAGTACCTGACCATTTTTTTCCACTGCTAATTAGTGATAAGAGCAATCACACCTGTTCAAGGTGACTGGCACTACTGACAGTCACTGGTGCAAAACGCAGTGGAACATTTGGTCGTTCTGAAAGAGGATACAATGGAGCAATACAGGAAATTCCATGCCGAGAGGACAAAGTCAAACATTTGTTCTCTTGCACACCATAAAAAAGTATTTTTGGTTACAAATCACTATTGCAAACAATCTTCTCGTAGATAAAACTAAAAATGTCTCTATCTAAAAAGTGTTGAGGGTCAAAAACCTAAAAATCATAACTAACAAGATTTCTCTGTGTAAGTCCTCTCCTCTTATGGACTGTGACAGTCTCCTTATTTTAAGAAAGGCCTTCCTCTTGGTCAATCAATTCTGTTTTGGTGGAGAACACATCAGCCAACATGTGCTTTGGGATTTCAGAGCCCCGTACTTTTAACGTGTAGCAGGCATTCTCTACTTTTGCCAGACTCTGTTTCAAAGTGTACAGTTTCTTGGATACTTCATAAGGTCCAGTGTTGCCAATGAAAGTAAAACCGTCATAAATCTGACGTAAGAACTGGCTCAGTTCAAAAGGTGTGTCGATGTCACCGTTGCCAACACTGCTGATGCACAGTCGCATCAGCTCTCCGGTTAGATCAGCCACTCCCAGCAGGTAATCTACAGGTGTCACCTTCAGGCTCCAAGTGTGTGGCTGTTTATCCTGGGAACTGGAGGTCTGAGGACAGAATAGAGCAAAGTTCCTTTCAGAGAATTATGGAAAAAGACAGTCTAAAATGGTTCAAATGCACACTAATTTACCTAATGCACTGTAAAGCAATAGGAGTTACAAACATTCTAGTGCATGCCACTTCCACAGTCTGATTTCAGAAGTACTATTTACTAATCCTTCCTCCAGCGTGCTGTAAGATATAAAAGTATCCATTCCACTGAGATGTGACTTCCTCTCTGAAAAGCATGATGAACATATCAAACCTACCACACTTCTACAATTTTTATATGCAAATAGAATAAACATTTTTTTGTATCAACATTTATTTGCATTTGCCTTTTTTTGGGGGGGCTTGCAGACTTCAGCCTGATGGATTTAAATTTTGGTTGAATGGTCTTGTCCAAAGATACACAAATCTGAAGATTCAAGAAACAATAAGAGAGTCTGCATTATAAAAACAAATCACATGATTTTGTAATAATATCTTGAATTTCAAAATGCTTTCTAGAAGAAGCTGACAAGTGGATTCCTCTCAGATCTGTTTTTTATATCAATTGAATTCATCAAAATATCTAAATAAATATTCATGAAAAAAATTACCACAAGTGACAAATTTGCTCTCCAAGCTACAATACTTTTGATTTCCGAAATACTGGTGATATTGGAGACAGCACAGGTTTGCTTCTATCCCCTTGTTCCCACAAGGGAACACCCACCCAAACATCACCAATCTGGTCAGGTGTGCATGCAGACATCAATAACTTTGCAAATAGGGAAAAGAAGCATGCCATTGTAGGTAAGAAAAAGAGAACTTAAGCTGAAAACCTGGCTTCTTTACAAATATCTTACTAAAAGAATGAGGAAGGAAAAAAAAAAAGTGCTGTAGAACAGAATCTCTTCAACAGAAGTAGTATCTAAAGCACTAATGCTGTGTATTACTGTACACTGCATGTGCACTGCATGACCATTTCTATACTTTACCACAGACAGCTTCTGAGCCCCATCTACAAAGTGTTCCCAGTTTACTGTGGTCATTGGCAGCAGTGTCTGTGCAAATAATTGTGCAGGGCAGGGTAAAGGTATGGCCACATCAAGAAACAGCAGATACAACATGAGGTGTAAGGTACAAGAGTAAATGTGTTTGTGCCCTGAAAACATAAAGAGCAACTCTAGGAATGCTACAAATTACCAAGCTAAAACACATAATGAATACTAACAGAAGCTAATCAGAGTGCCTGCCCTGATTAGCTTAGTATGAGGTAGGAAGATTTCATTTTGTCTCAAATTCATTAGTCTCCTCCAACTTTTGCTATACCACTTTACACTGGTGGATGTTACAGATACAAACACAGACATTAAAAATCCCTTTTCCATATTTGCTTCCCGGTATTTTACAATCCCAAATCCTTCTCCCTGCCAGGTGTTCATTTTGCCCTAAAGGGGATGTGAAATGAATAAACTTGAAGCCTACTGACCTAGTTTAATACGTCTCAGAATAAAAAGCACGTTTTGAATGACTGAGTCAAAGCCCACATGTATATCTAATACCATTCCATTAACTGAACTTATTTAATCAAATGCCAAAAGCATGACTAAGCTCAGTCGTTGCATTACCATTCCAGAAAGATATGTCATATGAGAAGAGAAAAGCTTTTACCATGTTTGTTGTTTCTTCTCTGTCTTCTGCTGTAAATATTAGTTGTTTGTTGATCTCTTCAACACTAATTAAAGATCGGGTTTTGATAAAATACTGAAATGAAACAGCTTCAATATATTCTTGAAGTCCTGAAAAAAAAAAACCAACCAAACCACAAAATTATTAAGCAAATGATTCAAACTTCAGAGCAATGACCCATGATCCATGCTTGCTTTTTTTTTTTTTAGAAAATTTGTATGTGAAACTATCTTAAGATTACTAGCAGAAAGTGAAATCCAGAAATAACACTGAAAAGCTATTTAACATAGCACACTTCTGACATATGAGACCAAAAGAACAGCAGATCAACATTTTCGAGTTTTTACTACAAGTGCATTTTTTATTCAGATCCTTCAGTATATCAGTACAAAGTATAGTGCTACTCACTCCCAGAAACATATTAAGAAGTTGCTCCCCATAACAAAGCTTCTAAAGCGTTGCATTTATATTACATGAGGTCACAGACATGGGGCACAACACAAAAAAAAGACTGCAGATAAATCAAAAACAAGGCAGATGGCCCACAAAATACAGGTAATGTTTCCTTTGGATCTGTTGTTAGCAACAGAAAATGTCTGTTTAAAACTTCATTTCCCATTTCTTTGTTTTGTAGGAATTAGTGAATAGGCTCCTTAAAAGACAGGCTAGGTGAAATTCATGTTCAGGACAAAGCACATTTTCTTACAAACAAATCCAGACCAAAAACTATTATTGTTATAATTACAATAAGCCAGACAAGACTGCAATGTTTGGCAAGATGAATACAATGAAGGACAGCCCTATCGTCAAGAACTTACACTCTGAAAATAAGGCATGCAGGAAGAACAAAAGGTGTGCCAGCAAGGAAATAACAGATAGGATAACAAATACAGCTTGTTCCAGATTTATGTGCCATCTGCAGCCACCTGTCACAATTACCTCTCACTATCAACTCAGCAGATGGCAATTTTCTGCATGCATTAGTAACAAAAGTGAGATCAAAAATACAGCTTGAATGTTGAGACGGTGATTCATAGGTTCTGTTAATTTTTCCTTATATGTAGAAGAGAAATCTGGGGGAAGCATGTGGGATTTCAGCACAAATCTGAAATTGGCTCTGATGGTGGAAAAATAAAAAGCAGAAATGAATCTGGAGCAAACAGCCACGGCAGGATTAAGCTAAAAAGTTTTAAAGACAATAACAATACGTGTGTATCTGACCAAGGGGCAGAGAGAGAGCCAACAGAGGAAGTTAAAGGAACATACTGTAACATGATCGATCTTAGCAGAAGAACTGAACAATTCTAAGGGGATGGTTTCACTTTGAGAGAAGCTCAGAGGTGACACTGCTGTAACATGCTGAAAAGGGCCATGAATAGACAACAGCTTTGCCAATATGTCAAGTGAAAAAAAATGGAGGTACCCAAGGTAACTAGCAGCAGAATCCTGTTTCCATTGGAATAATTTTAGAAACTCCAACTGACCACTCTAGGGCCAGAATCTCAGCCTACAAGAGATATCTAGGAAGCAGAGAATTTAGGCTTCATTTGGATCAAAGAGAAAGTCTAAATCAATAACAAGGGAACACAGCCTTGAGTAACAGAGGAAAGCCGAATGATCCCCAGAAAACTAGAGGAGACCACAAGGGAAAATGCTTTTCATGTTACAATCAAAAAAGCTTAACGAATGACCTGCATTTCTTCCTTTGAAATACGAATTTGCAAAGTGAGTGAGGGCAATTCAGAAAGGCATTTCAGTTTGCATCCTTTATGCTCCTACCCAGCAGTAGCTTCAAAAGTAGAATAAGATCCAGCAATCAGAGCCACACTCATTTCTCGTACACAGGGAACTGCAAGGCCAATAAAATGCAATAGCTTCATCAACTGAGTTTGGGTGAAGCATTCTGGGCAGAAGTCACAGAGGAATAATAAAGGAAAACTACTTGGGATTTTCCAAAACTAGTAACTTCAGAAGTTGCAGAGAGGAAGATTTATTCAATTGCTTCTTCCCCTGATTTACTCTGCTGATATAACACAACCACTAATTCATTATGACATTTTGGCTTTTTCTATGGATAAGCTGTAATTACCTAATACTACAGCACTTAATACGACAACATCTGTGAGAATCTCCTATCTATGGAGAAGACTATCAGATATGGAAAATCAACGTGGCACTTACCCAAGTTCTCAAAGTGATCAAATCAGCTCTCAAACCTTCCAATATACAGGTTTCTTGATCAGTCTTAACTCCCCAGCTTCAACTCATTTCACTTTAACTCCTCCACGCACATTTTCCAGGGTGTTTGGTTCCTCCTTTCATTTCTGTATCTATATGTATTTATTTTCCTTTCTCTCTCTCCATATATACACACACACACACACACACACACGCAAATACATGCACATTTTTACCTCCTCCTTTCCAATCCAAGCTGTTCCACTATTTTCCTCCCTTCTCTTTAACACCACGATGTGAATATTGTACGCGCATTCTGGTTTGTTATTTCACCTTGCACAGTTTGGGAATCTACCTCACAGTATTGACAAGTAAGGTTACAAAACCTTATGTGACACTGTTAGCATCACAAATAGACTGGTAGCAACTCCTCTGCAAAAATATTTATATTTTAAGTCCTTCCAAAAGTAGCTGCAACATAACCTTTTAGCGACCCAAGACCTTGAAAGAAGGTGTTTTTATACGCAGGTAGAAGAATGTTTGAATATGTTATGTTTTAGCTTCATGGAAGGACATCCGCTATGTTCAGCAAATAATCCCCAAGGTGAAAAGCTCCATCCCATTTCACTACACTATCCAACAGTACCTTTCCCCTCATGCTTTTATTTTGGATTTATTCCAAAACTTGATTATTTACAGGTTGAGCTGCCAGTAATAGTTTGTAAAACTGTTTTTATGCATGTTTTTTCTTAGAACACACATAGGAAACTGTAAATAAAAGCACGGTGTTACTTCCACTGGCATTTCTTAAAATTAGAAAGGTGAAACTACAGAAAAGTTAAATATTTTGATATCTTATTATATTTATTCTGTATAAATAGCTTGTACTAGTGATAGGCTACCATCACACATATAATATCTTCCTTCTATATTTTGAAAATATATTTTTTGCATACAAACTGGAAAGTTACACAGAGGTATCTTCTCAGCACACAGCTATCGAGAAGGAAATTTCATGCCTAAAAGTTTGTGCAATTTTTTTCCAGTTGAATCATCTGATAATATTCATCTGCATATACAGACTCTGAGAAGTAAGAGTTAAGCAATTTCTCTAAAACAATGAAAAAAAAAACAACAAACAAAACTAATATCATACTAGCAAGGAATCGGGTCTCTTCAAACTCTCAGCTCATTGTAGCACTCTCTCCAAGAAAAAAATGACCATTTTTTCATTTAAGTATCTGTTCAACACTTAAAAATGGGTTAAAATGGGTTCCATGCATCTCAGGTCTTGAAGTTATAAACACCAACACTATCTGTCAGTTTCCTGAATGATGTTGGTCCCTATTTCTTCTCAAGTTATCTTCCTTCTCTTCCTTCATTCTCTTGCTTTCCTCCCTACCTGCATCTTTTTGCTCACACAGACAGCCTCTGTTACCTTCCCCAGGTCCTACCCTAAACCATGAAGCAGGAATCACAAACCAACAGCAGTCACCAAAAGGGCTGTCTGAAAACATACACAGTTACAGCAGTTTTCTTCCAGCATCACCAGTGCAGAACATTACTTTTAGGGCAAGTCACATGAAGCTACCCAATTGTGAATTCATCATCAAATCAAAGCAACACAACCTTATCACACTTAGGCTAGTAAGTGACCCTCTCTTAAAAATAGGAAGAAAGAAAAAAAAAAAGTCAAATTGTTGTGGAAAATCCAAACTGAGAAAAAAAACCAAAGATAACTGGAGAGCTTCTGTCAGTGAACTCTGCAGAACCCAAGGAAGATGGTAGAATGAGAAGAACCTACTTCTACAAGCCTGCTGATCAATGAGAACTGGTAAAATAACTACATGGACCAAGTACACCAACTGAAACAAGTGCAAGCAATAAATTTAAATGCATTCATAAGCAAATGACAATTAGAAAATAATCATACCTCATCATTACCATTCTATTAAGACGAAACTGACAACTCACACCTCACTCATTTCAATTTGCCCACAGATGGCAGCAACAATTCCTAGATTCACACTTCTTTCTGTCCAGAAATGGTAAAAACTGAAGTAATTAAAACTGAGGCTATGAAACAATCCAACAGCTGCTTAGTTGATTGTGAGTATGAAATCAAAGGTTAATTTTCTAACAGCTTACAGAAAGATTCTAAAGCCAGCTGTAAAACCAGCTATACTCAGACATACTCACCACCTGGATATTGCTGTAAAAAAGGCTTCATATTACTCCTGAAGAGCAGGTTTTGTACAATGGGGATAAGTAACACATACAAATAAAAGCACATGAATTTGAAGAAAAAAAAAAATCTGCTATTTCTATTCACTGAATAATACGTTCATGGAGCCAGGTATGTGTGCCATGCAGAGCTATATACAGCCTTTGAATTTTAATGGGAACTGAGGAAGAGAAAAACACAGCCAAGTCCATTTCCAGATAAACTGCTCCATTTTAACAATTCAGTTTTGAAATCACTTTGACAGTCAGTGCAAGCTCATATAGGAATATTTGTCAGAGAAAGATACTGTATGCATTCTATCACTAATCAGTTCAAGGTAGCAACTGAAACCAGAACATATATTGCATCTAGCAACGATTCATCTAAGCTGGTTTACGATCAAATCAATAATTAAATTGGTGAAAATTTCTCTTATTAAATCCTGAATGCTTTATTGATTAGTCAGTTGCTACGTGACACATCCACGACCATCCTGCAGCTCTGTTCCTTTCCAGCTGTATGTGTAAGTGATAAATTTCAGGTGCTGAAGCGTTAGCATTGTTTGCACTTAGTCTCTAAAGCTGCATACACACCACAGCTAGGGGAAAGGTAAACCAGAGGTTTGTCTGTGTTCCTCAAAACTAAAGAAACAAACACAGGCTTCCTACTTAATAGGCATAAGTGCCCATGACAGTTAAATTATTTCTC